ACGGCTAGGCGCTGCTGCCATTGTCTCCCACTTGGACCGTTAGGGAGACTTCCTTACTGGTGTCCTTTACTCTCGCCCGCCAATGTCCATTCTCCACAGGTAGCCAAAGGGATCTTTCCAAAAAATAAGAATCAGATCACATCACTTCTTGTACAAAACTCTCTAGTGGCTTGTCATAAAATTCAGAGTAAAACCCAAGTTCCCCTCCTGGCTTAGAAAGCCCTGCATCTCAGGGTTCCTGCCAAGCCGTGACCTCGTCTCCTGCCCTCTTCCCCTGGCTTTCCTCAAGGGTGCCGCCCGCCCTCTGCCCGGTGTTCCTTCCTCCACTCCTGGCTGGCTCCTTCTCATCAGTCACACCTTGCCTCCCACAATGCCAGCTCAGGGGCCTTTCCTCACTGAGTCTGTGGCGGAGCCCCTTTCCGTCACATGGCTCCCTGTTACGTGGAGGTACTGTCCGGCCCGTGCCTGGGAGACCATTCACCACGTAATGGGAGTCTGACCCGGGCTGGGTGAGCGGTGAGCGCTGCTTTCCAGGTCCTTGGTCTCACTTTCCGCCAGATATTGGATGGGGTCCCGTGACTTAGGCCTTTCCCGGCGGAGCGTGAAAAGATCGCTGGAATTAAATTCCCGAGAGTTGGGTTCTGTTCCCACCACTGTCACTTACCAGCTGTTTGAGCTTCAGTTTCTTCATCAATAAAGTGGAGCTCATGAACTTTCCTTACTCATACGGTAAGGACTAAATTTAAATACAAATAGAAGCAAAGCATTTAGCACATAGTAGGTACCTTCTTTCTCTATTAAAACTGTACCATATTGCTGTAGTTCACATTTTCCCCTCCTGCCACTCGAGGATGGGGGTAGGCGCCTGTCTTCGTTCTCCGAGCACCTCGCTCCCTGCTTGGTGTATGACGCACTAGTACGCAGTCCACAAGGACCTGTGTTGAGTCTGACTTCTCCCACCTAAGAACTGGTGTCGCCTGACTCCCCCTGTCTAGGCCCTGTCCCTTCGGTCAAAGTACAGAGAGACAGAGGAGACGCTCACTGTTCGGGGAAAGCCTCGGGGGACAGTATGGCTCAAGACAAAATCTGATTTGTATCCTTACTGCTGTTCCTAGGTTTATAGTTAATGTAAATTGATCCCAGTATAACTTTCTTTTTCTGTAAAGGGAGTGTAGGAAAAAGAGAGAGATCACAAGATCCTTTTGTGGTTTCTGTTGTTAGGCTGCTCATAAGATTCCTTCTTGTTCTTTTGTGAAGTAAAGTGTATATGAAAATACTCTGAAAACTGGAAGTGCTGTATTACATACATACATATATGTATAAATTGAAATGAGTATGATTTCTAGATAAGTGGTTCTGAAAGATTAGCTATTGAATAAACATTCAAAAATGTTTTTGATTGCCTACTGTGTGCCAGGCACTGTTTTGGGAATTAGAAATACAGCAATGAATAAAGCAGGTAAATCCCTGTCTTTATATAGCTTGCATTCTAGTGGGAGGGACAGACAATGAAGAAGATAGATAATAAAATGTGGAGTGTGGCAAATGGTGACTAAAAGCTAAAGAGAAAAAAACAAAGGCAAGCGATAGGGTCAGGGGAGGAAAAAATCTTACCTGGGTTGGAATTACATCTCTTTCCTCTCCCACCCCCACCCATGGTCATGATCCATAATATAGCAACCTTGCCTTCTGGTGTCACATCTAAATAATGTTAGGTCATCTAGGGAAAGAAAAGAAATCTGGTATGAGGTTCATCAAAGCTTCTAATAATAATTCATGTTTCTGCCAGCCATATTTATAAAAAATTGCTTTAAAATATTAAATTACAAATAGACATCTTCCATATCTGATATGCTGATTTTACAGTCTTTTTTTAGCGGTCAATATTAATAAATACATAAATATTTAAAAATCCAAAAGACTAAACTCAACAACTTATATAATTACCATTATCAGCCCATGAACATACTGTTTCTATATTACCTAAAAATGTCAGCTCCTTTTGAAGCTGAAAGATTAAATCAAAGCTGTGTTATTAATAACTCTTCCATTCTAAATATTAATGTGAAAAGTAAATTCTTGTTAAGAGAGCCACGACCTGAAGTATTAGGTCAGCTTGGTTCTGATTTTTATATACAGAGAAACGAGGAACACAGGAATTCCAGCAGCTCTGGTCCCCCATCCAGAGCGGTCGGGACGCTGTTTATGCTGAGGGCCCGTCGCTGACGTCCGCTCACTGAGGACTGCCGTCAGATTTCCTGGTGGTGGTTATTTTGGGGAGGGCAGTGGTAAGTAGTTGTCCAGCCCTGCTGGGACACTGCTCGGCAGAGGTCCTGAGAGCCGGATATGCCCCGTAGACAGGATGTAAGGTTAAAATGCAGTTTAGTTAAGTAAATAAAACAAGTGTTCAGTGGTAAAATAGAATTGCTGAAACACTAATGTTTTAAATTGGTATTGCTTAGATTATACTGAGGCAGAATTTCTAGTCTTCAAAAAAGGTATGGCTTTCTCTCTTAAAAATGAATGCATTGGTGAATTACTTTTGTAGGTTGAGACCATGAAGTTATGCTGTCCTTTGTGAAAGTTAATCCACCCACTCTCCTGTTCTCAGGTGCTTTCCCAGGAGGGCTGGGGCTTTTGCCCTGAGCCATCCACACCTGTATCTTGTCCCTCAGCTGTGACCAACATTATATATGTGTGTGTTTTAAAAAATCATGCTAGTCACTAATGTTTAAAAATTCTATCAATTAATTGCCTTTAACTTAGTTTTTCTCGTCCTGGTTCCTCAAGTCTGTGTTGCTAACTTTCTCAAACTTAGTGATTTGAAAGGTCACTCTATCTACTTCTTGTTCATGACAGAAAAAGACTTAAGACTATGAATTTTGCCTCTGAGTAAAATTTTACAGTATCCTGTAAGCTTTACTGTATGATATTCTCATTTTCCTTATTTTCCAAATAATCTGTAGGTGGTGTTTGCATTTCCTTCTCTGATCTAGCAATTATATGAGTTAACATTTAAAAATTTTCCAGGGAGGGGTTATTTGTTGATTTTGTTTAAATTTATGTTTTTAATTTCTGGTAAGATTGCATTATGAAGAATAAAAACCATACAACTTTTACTTTTAGGAGTATGTTTTAAGGTTTTTCTTTGTGACCCAGGATATCATGTTTTTACACTTCTCTTCTTCCCCTTTCAGACTGTTTTTAACTTACTTGATCCCTCGTAGCACATTTCCCGAGGGCCCTCCTGCCGTGGGCTTTCTGCTTTCTCTTAGGAGACCGCCCCAGGGATGTAGAAAATGAGCAGAATGATTTTCCTTCTCTTTCTTTTTTCTGTAATTTTCTTCCTTCCCTTTCTATTTCTGAAGTAGGCCTTGTTCACTCTTTCATTCATTGCTTTAACCTTTTTCAAAACCAACAGAAAGCTCACTTTTTCTCTGTCTCCCTTGCTTTCCCTCTCACTGCTGTGGGCAGAGGACAGTGGGATGGACGTCATCTCGCCCTAAGGCCCTCCCGGCCACCTTCTCCCCGAAGTTCCAGCCTTGGCACGCCCTGTGCGCTAGCAGGAGGCTGCCTGGGGCTGGGCGCCCCGGCGTCATGGGTGCTGTGATGTTTTCCCCCTCTGCTGCTGGCCGCAGGGCCTGCCTCCTCAGTCTTAGCCCAGGGCAGTAGGGCCCTCCTCATGCTTCTCGTGCCTTCTGAGATATGACATTGCTGCACAGCAGATCAGAAGCTGAGCAGGTGGGCGATGATTTGCAGGCACCAGCTTCTAGCAGTGGGAAACATACACAAGCCTCCTCCATCACTAGGCAAGTCTGTTACATGTGTTTTCTGTAGGGTGGAAGATTGTTTGAGGGGAGGGACTTGAGGAGGGTAGTCGGGCAGTGTCTGTGGGAAGGCTTACAGACCCTGTGCTTCTGCTGCTGGGCTCCAGGCGTGGAATCATACCATCTTCAGAGGCCTATGGATCCCCTTAGCAGATATGGGGTTTACCTGGGAAAATTCCAAAAAAAAATGTCTCTTCCTCTGGGTAGCAGCTCAGTGCCAGGGTTCATTGTGTGGGGCTGGATTTTGGCTCCCATTCTCCCTCCTTTGTGCAGCGCACAGACTGTCCAGACCTCCTGGTGGCCGTGGGTTTGCAGCACAGGTTGTTGAATTAACCAGACTGACTGGTCATTGGAAGCCCAGCTGCCACTTGGCCAGCTGTGTGACCTTAAAACACGGTACTTGGAACCTAGCTTTCCAACTGTAAATTGTTAAACCATGTTGCTGTGAAGATTGGGTGAGATGCACGTGTGCAACCCGTAGCATGGGGCCCAGTAGTGCTAAGCCCCGCATTGGCACTAAGATTAGTAGTATTCATTGGGGTCTTGTTATGTCATTGTGTTTATCTTGGTGTCTTTTAGTGTGAAGTTCTCAAACAGATAAGCTTTTATTGATAAGTGTTATGCTCCTCTATAAAAAGAAAGTGTCAACTATTTCTCAATGGGGTTTCTTTGGCTGTGATGTCCCAGGGTTCTGATTGCTGGATTTCATTATCTCTGTGCCATTTTAGGTATAAGACTTCAATGTCCACCAGGGGAAAGATGGAAGTTGGCATGGAAAGAACCAGTGTTCACTCAGTGTCTAATTTCTGGGGGCTCTTGATAACATTTGGGGTATTTGTGCACTTGGGTAAACGTAGAGAACTAGTTTAAGTTTGTGACTTTGTAACAAACGAGAAATTGAAACAGAGGGAAGTTGAGTCATTGCTTAAAGTCACCCACAGCTAGGAAAAGAAAAGGTGGAATCAGACTTGTTTTATTTTTCCTTTTCTGCTCTCCACCTTTCCTGGGGTTTATAAGAAGATCCCTGGGATTCTTCTGTCTAATAACTATTTAGTTCATGTAATTTTTCTCTAGAGTAGGAATTTCATTATCATCTGTGGTGCTGATTGGAGAGAAATCTTACGCAAGGTTATCTTTTTCTCCCCCATTTCTGAGCACATCTTTTTCTTCCAGGCGGCAGCCGATGTGCAGTTCGGCCCCATGAGATTTCATCCAGATCAGCTCCAGGTAGTAGCAAAGCATGCTGGGGGTTTCACACACTGGTTTTCTTCCAAGAGGGGGACAGAGATGGCCTGCAGTTACACAATGAAAATAATCTTCCATTTTAGATAGGAGTATTGGATCAATGTTAAATTTCCTGAACTTGGTAACAGTACTGTCGTTATATACGAGAATGTACTTTTCTTAGGAATACACATTGAGGTAGAGGTGAAAAAAATGCAACCTACTTTTAAAAGGTTCAGAAATATAAGTGTGTGTGTGGAGAGAGAGTGCAAAGGTGGCAACATGTTAACAATTGATGAACCTAGAAGGGATATGGAAGTTCATTGTCATTCACAACTTTCCTGGAGGCATGAAATTGTGCGTCATAGAAAAGCAAAAGCATCGTCTTCTCCATGTTGCTGTGCCGGCTCTGTCCGAGACAGCATAGTCTGTAAATTCTCTCTAATGCAAAATATGAGGCAAAATAACCAACTGAAGTTCAGCTCCAAAGTCATTTGATACTCCCTGCACACAAATGCCTACTTACTATTACATTTTTAAAAAACGTGAAAAGGACTGGCTGAAACACGCTCTCTTAGGTCTTCGCATTTGTGTTTTGGCTCATTTGGGTGAACTGAGAGGAGCCAGGCCCTGGGGGCAGGATTTCTGCTGGCTCTGCAGCCTCCTTCTCCCGGGCTGCCCCCGACTCCGCCTCTCCACCGGTGCCCCCATTGGTCAGTCTGGGTCCAAAGGGGGACAGCGGTGTGTTCCTGAACTAGAGGCGGCCGCAGGCCTGGCTGGAGGGGAGCAGCGGAGGTGCAGGCTCCCCAGCTCGGGCCAGTTGTGGGGACGGCAGCCGTCGTCCTGGGCGGAGGCACCGACGCCCCTCTCGCACCTGGTGCTGTGCCCATGTCACTTACCTGGCAGGTTTTGAAGTAACATTTTGGTTTACTTTAAATCTCCTCTCTTACAATCGAAGTGATTTTTTTTAACTTGGAGGAATACGTAAAATCTTGAGTCAAAACATTTAAAAACATTATTTAAAGTATTAAGTATTCTAGGAGTTTGACTGAAATAGTAGCATTTGCCATCTAAGGACTTACCTGGTTAACTTACTGCTAACTAAGGTAAATACTTGTGTGCTTTAATTGAGTTCGTTTCAAGATAAAATGCTGTATCAGGCCTTGGCTGAGTTCCGCCAGCAGGCTTATTAGCAGGAGGAGTAAAACTGCACATGCTCCGCGCGCTTGGACTTCCAGACTCAGGGCAGATGGAGTGGCACTACCGGGGGAGGTGGGCGGGCGCCCCCGAGTTCCATGCAGAGGCTGTCAGTTCACATCTGGGTACTTGCCTTCAAAACACTTGGGAGTATTCTGAGGTTTGTTAATAAATGACCATTCTAACGTCCTTTTTTTTTTTAAGTGTTTGTGCTTTTTTGATTCAGGTACTTTTAGTGTTTACCAAAGAAGATAAACAGTGTAATGGATTCTGTAGGGCATGTGAAAAGGCAGGGTTTCGCTGCACAGTTACCAAGGAGGCCCAGGCTGTCCTAGGCTGTTTCCTGGACAAGCATCACGACATCGTCATCATAGACCACAGAAATCCCCGACAGCTGGATGCCGAGGCGCTGTGCAGGTGAGCCTGGGGCTCGGGCCGGTGGTCCTGCTGGCGTCTGTGGCGGTGAATGTAGCCCAGGAATACAGGAAGGTTATTTCAGTGTCTTAAGTTGCCTTCCACACATGTAAAAAAAATTACGATCTTAGAACATAATTATTTCCATGACTGATCTTTCTCTCTTGTTTTGCTTTGCTTTGATTAAAACAGTAAGAGAATATGAATGACGAAGCATTAAGGGTTCAGATGAAACCCGAATTGTAATTAACTGTAACTATCACGTGCATGTTACTGCAGTAAGAGTTATAATTTTCTAGATGTTTTTAAAGTCAGGAAATTTTTGAAAATTGTCTTCTAATGTTCGGTGGATATGCCTCAGTTATCGTACTTGCAGAATATCAACACGAGGGAATTCTGGGTGGCAGACACAAATCTAAGAAAAGCACTTTTAGAAGGAAGTTATTTGCTGCTGATGGAAGTGAGGCAGAGTGAAATGTCCATTTTATTTCATAGAAAACTTTATTTTGGGGAAGACAAATTGTAATTTTAATGTAATGTAAAATTTGATAATGTTTTACTTTTAAAGACATTTAAAATCTTGACTGTTAGGAGATAGAAAAGATTTAACCAAATATAAAAGGGTTAAAAACTGAGGTGACAAGAAAATGACATCCTATCAAAAGGTTGTTTGCAGGTCCATGGTGATTTCCACACCCTTGTTCCCTTGGCCGTGAGAACCCACCTTTCAGGTGTTCAGACAGGTGGCTTTCCCCCAGGGGTGACCCACCTCGTGAGCGCTTCCCCTCCGGCCTCGGTCTAGCGCCTGCTGTGCTGCCTGGGCCCAGGTCCCATTTCTGTCTGCCTGATCGCCCAGGTTGGTTTGGCAGGTTGCCTGCGCAGCCACTTGGCACTGCCGTGAGAGGTGGCGGCCTGAGATGTGTGCAGGAGCTCTGGCCCTGGCACGGGGAGCCTGGGCCCTGGGTTCGGCTCTTCCTGGACCAGCTGCTTGCCTTTGTGTGACTGACTTCTGTGCAAATTTGGAGCACTTTGTTTCCAAGATCCGTTCCGCCTCTATCCTTTGATGGACAGCATGCAGAGGAGGAGAAGGAAACACCTCCATGGTGCTCGGTAGTCTTGGTGTAAAGCTGCAAGGCGGGAGAGGTATCTGAGGAGGGCATCCCAAGGCCCCCATGGAAAAGGGGACGGGGAGGTGCTGAGAGACACTTGGCCTCTTTCTTGGTCTTGTCCAGGCCCAAACCTAGGCACAGGTATGTGCCGGAAGATGGGAATTTGTGTCCACAAAGATGACTGCCGGATCATCCTGTGCTATGAAACAAAGGTTAGGCCTTGGTAGTTATGCTGTACTTCTTTAGTGTGGTAAAACGTACCATAAAATTCTCTACTTTTTATGGGAGGAAATATACTATTGTTACCCATTTTGGCAATATTCTAAACAAAAAGGGTTAATTTGTCAAATTTTTATTGATATGTAAATATAATTTTATACAATTTTAATAGAATGCAAACTGGATTGTTCAATATGTAGTTTTAGAAACAGACTGTCGTGTGCGTGTCCTCTGCAAAGCCCCTACCGCCCTCCGTCCAGCCTCTGCTGGGGTTTGGGGCTCCCTGAGGGAAAGCCCTGAGTCGCGGCTCTCCATGTGGAGCCCCCCTTTGTCCAGAGCTGGCACAGGGTCCCTGGGGCAGGTTAACCCCCTTCCCCAGATTTCCAGCACTAGGGGACAGGAATGGTCTCTTCTGGGTCAGCAGCTCTGCACGAAGTGTAGTCTCGCATTCAGACATGCGGCTGAGGCCGTGTCCTCCAAGTGCCTCCCCCAGCGCAGTTCCGGTGAGCCTGCCTCCAGCGCTGAAGGCTCCCGGTGGGTTTGGACGGAGCAGTGAAGTGTCAGCAGAACAGCTGTCTCCCTGTGCCGGCCGGAGAGCAGACCTCCCCAGACGTAGCTCCTCATGGCATCCCTTTCCTGAGGGCTGTGGCGCAGCCCTGGCCCCGGATCTCAGGTCTTCTCACCAGCCCTGCTCTGCCACACCTCCGTCTTGGTGGCTCGGGGTGCCGGTGGGGGTGCAATTCGTAGTGAGTTTTCTAGATGCAGGAATGGGCCCTGATTTATTTTTCTACGTCAGTTTCATCTCGATTCTGGCCCTTACCTGGCTTGTCTCCCTTAAGATCCTCCCTTTAGGGGTTTCTGCCCACTGTGGACTTGTCCTTCAAGGAATCTTCCCAGACTCCCTCCTGAACCTGCTGACCCTTAGCTCTGTCCTTCCCTTCACCCTCCTTTGGGGATACCCAGTCAACACCGCCTGTGACAGGCTTTTCCTCAGTTGCTGACTTGTCTAAATGACTAGCATTCATCTGTAAGTCTCCACGGGGGACACTTGGAACTCCATGCTCTCCTTATCAAGTGCCTTGCTGAAGGCCAGATAGTCTGTGTCTGCAGTGTTTCCAAATCTGCCATTTGAGGGGCCCTGTTCTGCACGTCTTCTCAGTTCTGGGCACTGTATGTGGTACTTGAGCTACATGAATGAGGAAGACCTGGTTCTTGCCTCTGAGGACCTAAGGCTGCGCAGCTCGTAGGCCAAGCGATTTCAGTCCAGCCCGAAAATGCCCACAGAGGTGGAAGATATATACAGAGTGCTGTGGTGCTGGCGCCGAGGAGGCCTTCACAGAGGATGTTTGGGCTGAGTCCTGAAGAGTGATCGGGCTTTAAGAGGAGAAAGCCTGGTGTAGGAATAAGCAGGTGTCCAGAGCTCCTGTGTGCCGTGTGGGTGGCTGCTGTGTCAGGTGCGGGACTTGGCTCAGGGTGACACTGGGGCAGCAGACGTGGGCCCGATTGTGAGCACCTTGTGCGCTGAGCCAGACTTTGGACTTTCCTCTGGGGGCAGCTGAGACACCAGTGCATTCTGTGTAGGGGGGCATCAAGAGCTGAGTGGCAGTTCCCTCTGGCCCCCAGCGGGAGGATAGAGAGAAGACGGAAGCCGCGGAGGCGAGGCAGGCATCGTGGGCCATCACAGGCCCTCTTCTGCGGTGCTTGGGACCAGCCCCTCCCCGCTGCCTTTCAAAAAAACCCATGAAGGTGACAAGAAGCAGAAACCGACCACAGCAGTTAAAAACCAAAGATGAGATGACAGGCGTGTCAGCAGCTGGGAGAGCAGAGAAGGACGGGGCTCCTCCTCTGTCTCTTCTCCCGGGCAGTGCAGCAGCCACTGGGTCCCAGAATATCCTCTGTGTACGTCAGTCTCTGAGGCTGAAATACCAGTGGCCATAAGGGAAGGAAGTGGGAAGAGACTTTGCTGCACTTCCCCTGTGTCCTGCGGAGCCTGGGATGCTGGAGGGGTGCTGACCAGGGAAACAGACAGCTCGTCCCCCCACCCCTGAGCTGGCCAGAGCCCTGCTTCCAGCCCCTGCTGCCCCTTCACTCCTTATTTACTGCATCCACCAGGAAACCCGAGGCGGGCAGCAGAGCAAGGTGGACAGAGACGTTGTTTTTCCTGCCATGTTGTGAGAAGGGACAGAGGCATAAGGAGTGTGGAGACAGCCTTTCCTGTACTGCAGTTTCAAAATGGCAAACCGTATGGATTCTCAGGTTTAGGCGGAGAACGGAGAGAGCGGGCTGGGCGTCTGCTCTGTGGGGCAGACCCGTGCGTGACCGCCGACTGCACTCGGAGCACGAACTGGCATTTAGGCCCAGACCTGGGAGTAGGGTGGCAGCTGATGCCGAGGGTCTAGGGAAAGCATGCGGGGGAGACTCCTGGCCTTCTCCGCTGCAGACTGTCTGCCTGGGTTGATGTCACTCCCATTCAAGGGTGAATGAGCAGGATTAAAAAGGGGCATGTAGCTGGGTGGAGCTGGAGGGTATTATGCTCAGTGAAATAAGCCAGGCGGAGAAAGACAAGTACCAAATGATTTCCCTCATATGTGGAGCATAAGAACAAAGAAAAACTGAAGGAACCGAACAGCAGCAGAATCACAGAACCCAAGAATGGACTAACAGTTACCAAAGGGAAAGGGACTGTGGAGGATGGGTGGGAAGGGAGGGATAAGGGCAGGGAAAAAGAAGGGGGGCATTACGATTAGCATGTATAATGGGGGGGGGCATGGGGAAGGCTGTACAACACAGTGAAGACAAGTAGTGATTCTACAGCATTTACTACGCTGATGGACAGTGACTGTAATGGGGTTTGTTGGGGGGACTTGGTGAAGGGGGGAACCTAGTAAAACAGTGTTCTTCAAAAAAAAAAAAAAGGCGGGGGGGCATGTAGGAAGCTGCCAAATTATGGTGTGAAAGAACAGCCAGCCATAAAGACTAAGAATATTATTTTCTACAAGAAATTGAAGAGCCTTTTAGGAGGCATATGCTTAGTATACTGAGAAGAAACGAAGAAATATTCTTTGTGCAGCAGGAGCAGGGCTCTGTAATGAAAGGCAAAGTTTGAAAAAGGGAGGTGGGGGAAATAAAGAGCTGCATGGAGCCTCAACACGCATTAACAGAGTTAAAGTGTCTGCCGAATGCGGAGGCAGGACTGAATTCGGGGTGCCGGGTGCTCTCACCCAGTCTCTGGCTCGCTCTGGTCTGCAGACCCTTCTTACCACTCTGAATTCCATATTTTTTTATCTGCAACTCCTTCCACATGGCAGAGGGAAACAGTGGTAAAATGTAAGCAATGGAGTTGGGCTTTTGTAAAATTTAACTCATTAAAGGGCTCAGCTCTGTTATTACAGTAAGCCTCCATCATACAACGTTTTTTTCCAATTTTGTGTCAGGATCACCATCAGAATTATTTGTGGTTGTCTGGTGTGTCTGAGGCTGGTGGTTGCCCCCAATACCCATTTCTACTCTTGTCCTGTAGTTTCCTACTACACAAAATAAGATTTCTAGTGTTTAACGGGGCAGATGGCCACCCAGAAAATACCGTATTCCCTGGCTTTTCTGGGAGCTGGCCGGTGAGAGCGCCGTGCCTCTCCTGGGAAGCATCCGCGTAGGGGAATTCTCGCCCTTCTTCCTGCTGCCTGGGCTGTGGATGTCACGGCTAGAGCTCAGCATCTCTCCCAGACCGGGAGGAGGAAACCGCAGCCGAGGAAGAGAAGACAGAGGAGCTGCATGTCTGAAGCTGCCAAGTGCTGATACAGCCCTAGACGCCCACCTCTGCCCGTCTTTTATGTGGGAGACAAATCTCGTTTAAGCCTCTTGCAGTCCACTTCTTCGGAGGTTTCTGTTATGTGCAACCACATCAAATCCTAATGATACAGCAGCAGGCTTGGTTTTGAGAGCCGCCCAGCGTGCCTGCCCAGCCTTGCAGAATCTCACGCTGTAGACTCGTCTTCTTCCTGCCTTCTTGGAATCAGCCTTCCCAGTGCCTAGCTGTACCTGTTGGTGATGCCAGGTCATTTCTTAGTTTCCTTAAACTCTGAAGTAAAGGGTGTTCTTTTTCAACCCTGTTTCCTGACGTTTCAGTGTCCTAGCCAGTTCTTCCTTCTCATGGACGAGAAAGTCAAGAGCATACCGTTGCCTTTTCTATGTGGTATCAGATCTCCTTTGCAGGGATTGGCTTGTTTCCAGGTAAATGTGTTCTTCCCTTCCTCTTTGTCCTTAGCCCAGCACCTCTCGTTTCTGTATGCCGAGTAGTCACCCAAAACTACCTCTTGAGATCATTTGCATGGCTGCCTACTTGTTATTAAATACTCAGATCCCTTTTCTTCTAGAAGGGTGAGAGCTGGTTTGAGATGGCTGGCTGCATGCTTAAATCTGCCTTTTCTTCCTGTACATCTCTGTGATATGGCAGAAATATGACCACAAGAACAAGTACAGTCCTAAGAAGTCATGGAAATGCCATTTGTGAGCCCATGTCTCTCATTCCCTGTTTAAGATTAGCGCTCGGGTCAGTATTAGCCCGTAGGTCTGAAAAGTGAACTGGTCTCATCTCTGTGTCTGCCACGCTTCAGTCACCCTGCCAGGCTTAAACAGCCCTTCCCAGGGCCCCTCCCCCATGGCAGTGAGCTTGGCTGTTCTCCAGGCAGGGAGACCACAGTTGGACCAGGGATTGGCCCCTTGTCAGCACTCCCTGCAGTGACCTGTTGAGCGGGCTCTTCCAAGAGAGCCAGGCAGTGACCTTTAGGTCGGCTTCCTCTGGAGAGGACAGGTAGGTGGAAGCTGGAGTAGATGCTGGGAAAAGCAGAAGGCGCTGCTCCACTGGACTCACCGGAGGAGAATGTGGCTCTGCACAGAAGCAAAGGAAGGGTGACCTGGGGGAGTAGGCGAAGGACCTGAGAATGCAGAGCTCTGACCTCACCCTGTGCTGACTCCGGAGAAGGACCAGGCCCCAGGGAAACGGAGGAACTCGGCTCCCGGCCTGAAAGGAAGACAGCGCAGAAGTGTGCTGGCCTCCTGGAGAACGTGCCCAGAAAGGGACAGGGAACAGCCGAGGTGTGGTGCGTTACTTCAGTTCTGTTGGTTCGAGAAATAGAAGCACTTCGCCGTCGCAGAGCACAGAACACAATCTGAGTGACAATTTCTCGATTCAGTCCTCCATGTTTAACTTTTCCTATCAGGTGTGGATTCTCTTCTTTCTGACTGTTAGGACTACCTTGCATTTCCTAGATTTGAATTTTTATTATTACTGTTTTTGCCTGCATTCTACCTAGGAACGCTTCTTTAACCGAACCACTTAAGAGTGCAGTGGAGAGCTGCCCTCTGGGCTCCTTCCTCCACACCGTGATCGCGGCCCTCCGTTTGTCACGCACATAGACATGCGTTTCCCTTTGGTGGGCAGAGACAGATCGCCCCTCTCATGTCAGCCCATGGTAGGGAAAATTCTCCACTTGAAACCACTTAAGTTAGCAAAGGCCAGAGCAGTTAGGAGGCCCATCATGTCAGTCAGCTTTTGTATTCACACTCCGTAATTGTTAGGGTGGCCACCGCCCACTGGTCAGGAGTTTGTCCCCAGAAGAGAGAAAGATCAAGTAGCCAGGAAGGTGAGTCCAGAGTGTGAAGGGCCTTGTGCTCTGCCTTCTGCCGCTCCCCTAGCTTCAGGGGTCACCACAGTTGTTTACATGTATTTTCTTAAGAATTGCTTTAAATTTATTTTAAAATTTGTTTTTCTCTCCAAGGTCTATCAGATCATCAAAACTCTCAGAAAACACAATTATAATCGGTGTAGTACGCAGGTAAGCTTCCATTTTTCTTGATGTTAAGATGTGGGTGTCCCTGTAGTGCCAGCTTTCTACAACTCGCAGACCTTGACAGACCCTTTTTTTTTTTTTTGAGAGGGCATCTCTCATATTTATTGATCAAATGGTTGTTAACAACAACAAAATTCTGTATAGGGGACTCAATGCACAATCATTAATCAACCCCAAACCTAATTCTCAACAGTCTCCAATCTTCTGAAGCATAACGAACAAGTTCTTACATGGTGAACAAGTTCTTACATAGTGAATAAGTTCTTACATGG